AAAGAAAGAAAGAAAGAAAGAAAGAAAGAAAGAAAGAAAGAAAGAAAAAGAAAGAAACTATTTTACATGATTTACCAATATCAGCATAAGCGGCTAAGTAGAAGAAATGAAGTAAAAAGGTACACTTTTTTTCTGAAAAAACTCATTTTTCTCTTTTATTAATATTTTTTAAAACTAGATAGACAAAAAAATTAGAGCAAACATTGAATTGGTAGGTGGACAGAGGGACTGCAAAATTGTGTAGTTGGTGCTCAATATATTGTTGATAATAGATAAAAAGCAAAATATACAAAGTTGTTTTTAACAAAAAGGAAAAGGATTATAAGTTTCTTTTTTAAATTCTGACTTGAATTCCAATATCTCCACTATTTATTATTTAAAGATAAATCACATGAGAGAAAAGGGGGAAAAATCTGCTAAAAGCACTATTGAATAAATATTTAGTTTCCAACTTCCCATTTGTACTCTAACTGATATTCAATATTTATACAATTCAATTTTTATGTATTTCTAACTTCAGTTCTTTAATCTATTCTTTTCTCCTCAAAGTGTGCTCTAATGTTTACATTTGCCTTGCTATGTAATATTATAATATGCATGGAAACTATTTTGCTTGAATTTAGGCAAACTTCAATTGTGAATATATGCTGCTAATGTTACCTCTGTTGATTATGCTTCCCATTCTGATATCATCAGTAATATATCTCTTTGCCAATGTTGTGTTAAACTTCTCCTTGAATCCATCAATATGGATCTTAGTAAATTGTGGTTTTTGTGTGTGATATAAAATGTATATAGATAACATGTAATGATCTAAATTTCTGTTTAAGTGATGCCATCTTTTCTGAGGGCAGAAGAGATGCTAACTTTAAAAAGTTAAGACTGCACAAGTAGGAGACATCAGCCAAAATTGAAATGTAGATTCAGCTCTTGAACTGAAATGGTTTTTTTTTAAAGTCCAGAAAGATTAGCACTTCCTTAGCTTGTCAATATACCATTTCCCGAACTGAATAGTCATGTATTTGAAAGAACTGGACTTAGCTTTTGCTGTAAGAATTAAAACACATTGTGTGGTCTTACCCAAGCATCATTCAAAATATAATTAAATAGAGTGGTGTGGTGGCTTAGAGGTGGAGTGCCCTCCTCACAATCAGGAGGCTATGAGTTTGATCCTAGGTAGACGCAGATATTTTTCTCTGTGGGCACAATGAGAATATATCTACTGATGACAGGAAAGGTATCCGGCCATTAAACACTCTGCTACCTCCATTCAGTTGCCCAGACTCCATCCCACAAGGGATTATGGGGTCATTAAAAGATGATGATGATGATGATTCAAAGTGTAATTAAATGTACCTTATAACCAGTTCTTTTCCAGCATGTGGAAAAATTATTTGTATCACTATAACAAGTGATGTGCTCAATGTTTGAGTATCATGACCGGTACTAAAATTAAAATTCTGAATATTAGTTTCAAAATGTTCTACTTTTCAGTAGACAACTATATTCTTGTACCCTTCTGATGATGCACATCAAGAGCCTGTGAAAGCTGACATTTATAGTATCTGATTATGTAGCTGGGCAACTTTCTGGATGCTACACTCAAAATGTAATTTCAGAAGACCAAGTCTGCAAGCGGCACCATCAGTAAGCACAGGCATTAATAATCAGTTACAAGAAAAAAAGACTCAAGTCCTTTAATACCAGGAATCAGTGGGAGAAAGCCAGTGGGTGGTTTTTAGTGCCATTCAATCTCCGTCAGCAGAGATAGCTGTATTTCTATCACAATAGGAAGCAGACCTTAATGAAAGCCACTGGTTTAGCTTTTTATCCTATCATATTCCTTTTTTTAAGACCAATTCTAAAGCTCAATGATTTCTGTGGGAAGCTTTTGCTTGGCTTTTCTGGCATAGAGCTTCACGAGCAGTTTAAATTCTATACTACAGTGGCAAGGTTAATTATTCCACAGCCTTTTCACAAACATTTCTACTGTACAATGCCTGGCATGCCCTGCAGAAGAGTTCATAAGGCTGATATAAGAACACCCAACAAGGATTTGGATAAAGATGTAACTACGTGGGAGGTTGCCAGCATTTAGAGGGCCATTTCCAGCTTATGGATGGTGTTACACATCGACTGAATCATCAGCAACTGTTAAAAGCTTCGAAGACAGCAGGGCTCTGAAAGGATTTTGTGCCAACTCAGTCTGTCCTGCTTCCCTCATTTCTTCCCTCCTTTGTTCAGTTTGGAGAGGAATTACAATGTTTGGGAGCATTAATTGTTCTCATATGGCTTGTTTGTTTTTCCCAGGAGGACATCAATCTCTGGAAACTGGAAAGCAAACACAGGTTCTGCCATGTTGGAACAGATCGCTATGACTGAGAGGTATTAAATAGAAAGAGCTACTATTACTAACATACAATCTTTCGGGGTAGAACTGATAGGCTTAATACTTAATACAGTAAGTATTATCTCAACAGCCAGCAGTAGTGCGGAAACTCAATTTGTATTCTTGAACATTAAAACATGGCACCTGCTGCTTTTTGCTTCTCTTCCTTATCATTTAGCTGGTCAACTCTAGTGTTGCTTTCTTTCTCTGGAGCGAGAGAGCACAGTGGGGTGATATCTCCTATTCATCCTAGGTTGTCATGCCAAGAAGGCAGAGTGGGAGGCAGGCTGAAAAGAGAATATGCCTGAGCTTTTCCATTTCCAGTCAAGGCAGGTTTCCTATACCAACATTTTCTGCACAGAACTATTCAGCCTACAATCAGGTTATTATATGTGTTTACTACATTGCCGTTGTGTATTTTATTACACATTATGGCAAAATAATAGAGCACCTATTTGCACACAGAAGGTCCTAGGCTAAATTGGACTGTCTTAAAATAAGTTTAGAAGACCTCTGTGTGTGTACTTGCCTAACAGTGTATATAACACTGAATTCAATAAGCCAACATAAGGCAATGTCTTCTGTACACATTCAAATGCAAGTCTGTAAAATATGATGTATAATCATAATTAACTTGAACGTGTTTTATAGTTTTTGAAATGTGTCGTATTAATATTATACTTTTAAGTACCCCTTTATAAAATATGTGAGACACATGAATCTCACTGTGTTCAGCTAAATCTTGGTAGCCCACATATTATAATATGAATGCAAAACAGAGGCCCAAGTAATTGATCAGCCTACTATTGACCCCTTATGATGTCATGTTAGCTGTGTAGCTGAATTTTAAATAAATCCTATGAAGAATCCTGACATCAATCAATGTGAATGTTTTGCTTCCTACAGATCCTAGGCAGGACTGATGCTAGCCAGAATGAATTTATTAAAGGAGAATAGTTGTAGCTCAGGGTTGAAATGAGAGGTCCTTGGTGCTCTCTGAGCTTGCTTGTTTTCCTGTAAATGTTTCCTTACCCTAACTAGATAACATCATCAGTGCTAGTAAGGAGTGCTGTTTGCTGTCAGTTTATTTTTTGATGTCTTGCCTGTCTGTGTGGGTGGAGGAAGTCTTAGAGATTCTTTGGTTGGGCTGTTTATGGATGGTTCTTTGATAGTTTCTTGATTGGGGTACTGCTTACTTGATTGTTGGTCTGAAGTTAACCTTGTACTTAATCTATGCTGATCTGGGTGCTGATTACTGGTGGAGAGGTGCTGGAATCTTTTTCTTTTCAACTGAATGAATTCAGTTACTTCTTGTTCCCCACCTCCCCCAAATTTTGAGGTGGAATAGATTATGAAGCAATTTGAACATCTCTTTTGTTTTTGTTTTTTAAAGTATTTGAACAGACTCCTATTCAGCACTTCTTGAATGATCACATGCCCATGAGAGTTTCTTTCAGGTTGCTCTGAAGTATTCAGGATGGGCTTATTATACCCAACTACTATTGCATTCGAATCTTGTTTTAGATTGTTGAATTATTTCCTATCTAAACTTAAGTAGTATGCTGTCTTTCCAGCATCTTCTTGTTCATTCTTCCATGAGGAGCCACTTTGTTCCCTTCCTCCAGGCCTAGATTTCCATGAAGTTCCTTGTGAATTAGCATGGGCATGTTCCTTGTGAATTAGCATGTTTGATTCATGGGGTTAATCCGCAATGTCAACAGCACATTCCTAGTACCCTTCTCCTCACACAAACCAGCGTGGGAAAGAATTAGCTCACCAATGATAATTTATTCTAATTTTAGAGTTTCTCTTCAAAAAAGATATTTGTCCCCATTGTTTCTGCCTTGCCCTAATACTTTGTCACCTCGCTCGAGAAGTACAGTGGTGACTACAATGGCAACACTGTTAGGATGATGTCAGTCAGAAATCAGTATGAGCCATTTCTCCATTAGACAACAGATTTCCACCATATGAGGGCATTCCCAAGGTATTTCAGAACAGAAACTGTCTGCAGTATCGCAAGTCTTTTCAGACTTCTGAAAAGCCCTCAGAATGAAGGGGAAAAACCACACCCAAAGTTTTTATAACTTGTATCTAGAGTTAATATAACTAATTCTTCTCCTAATGTAATGGATGAAAGAAAAGAAAGTTCAAGGAAGAAATAAAAGGACATGAAATATTCTCCTATCCATTGTTTGGTCAGCATGAGTGAGTATGCAGCTTTGTTTAAAGCTGCAAACTCACTCATGCTATCAGATTTTGCTATCAGATTTTTTTCATTTTTAGGATCAAATAACTCTTTGCTCCCTTTTAATGATTCACAAGGTAAGCTATCTAAGTTGTCTATTTCATTAGGCTTAATAGGTAGGGCTGGCCCTAATAGGACTTTTTTTTTACTTTAATTGACTATAAACTACAGAGAGAGTATTTAGCAAGTATT